AATTATCTGATTTTTGCAAGAATTTCAAAATCAATGGGTTTTTTTTTTTATCGCAAAAAAAGACGCTCAAAGTTTTGGTATAACTTTAAGGTCCCGCGCTGACGCCAGAAAAACAAGATTTTTAACAAAAACTCCAAGCTTCTAACGCGTACATGAAGAAAATAACATAGATTCTACTCCTTCCTCTTAATAACAGCAAACAAATTCTGTGGATAAGCAAATATTTGGACGTAACTCTGCTTATAATTACAGGTTTTCACATTTTACAATTACACGAAAGTATAAACACCGATACCTTCACACATACACACACGCATATATATATATATATATATATATATATATATATATATATATATATATATATATATATATACAGTGTTGTTCGATAAAAGTGACTCACTTGATTTTTTTTTACTAAATGTTCTCAACTGCCTTCTCGAGAGCCTGTACTTTATAATGCTCCATAAGTTTTCTATAGGGTTGAGGTCAGGAGATTGGGGCGGCCATGTCATAACACTCACCAGCTTCTCATCAAAATATTCCTTCATCAATTTTTATTTCTGACAGGGAGCATTATTCTGCATAAAAATGAGCTTGGTGGGGTTGATTTTCACCCTTTCAGCAAAAAGGGAGCAGACAAGTCTCTAAAATTCTCTTGTACTGCTCGCTCCTGAGGTTCCATGAAAAGAAAAGCATCCCCAGAACATTATACTGAAGGGATGCTTGACAGTACTTACTGCTAAATTCAAAGAGCTTTCAAAGCTTCTTTAGATTTTAGATCGCTTATCCTTTGAATTTAGCTCAACTTTCGTTTCATCTGAGAAGAGAACATTTAGTAAAAAAAACAGGTGAGTCACTTTTATCGAACAGCACTATATATATATATATATATATATATATATATATATATATATATATATATATATAAAAATGGAGTAAAAATTCATAGCATTTACTTTTAAAAAAGTTCTCAATAAAAGTAGCGCAAAATATCATATTTTTATCATAAGAGATTATAATAAAAACATTTTACATCTCTACACAAAAGCTTTCATGTTTCAATAGTATGATTGTACTTCCTCAGGCTATGGTTGTCAACTGGTGATAATATGATTTTTAGGGAATTTAAATTTCCCTAAAAAACATTTTATCACCAGTAACTAACTATCGCCTGAGAAAGTACAATCATACTATTGAAACATGAAAGCTTTTTATTGTAAAATGGTAAAATGTTTTATTATAATCTTTTATATAATATATATATATATATATATATATATATATATATATATATATATATATATACATATATCTGCTAACTCACTCATGTCTTCTCTCTCCCCTCTCACTTTCTCACTTCGTTAATTTTAATATGTTTAATACGGCCGGGTCAAAAAAATGTAAATTTTCTTTTCATTTTTTGTTTGGAAGTAAAGTCTGATGATCCGCATTTCTTTTAAAAGGTCTGTGGTCAAATAATTTATTACATGGAACCTTAAAGTGGTCTGTTTTTATATAAATTATTTGCTCTGGATTTACATTGAGCTCTCTGGATTTTATCCTCCTTAGGTTTACCCATACGGATTACCTAGTTTTTCATAAACTATATATACACACATATATATATATATATATATGCATACACACACACACACACACACACACACACACACACACACATATGTATATATATATACGTACACACACACACACACATATATATATATATATATATATACATACACATATATGTGTGTGCGTGTGTGTGTTAAAGTTCATATGCCTCGAAAGAAAACTTTTCAACGAATCAAAGAAAACATTCTTTGAAATAAAAAGGGAAATGTTTTCGGAACAATTGAAGCGAAACTTTCGATTGCTCAAGAACCTCTTAAAGGAATAAAGAAACCAGCACTCCTTGGCTCATAAAAATAGAATTAAGGGTTTCCTTTTGATTCCGTTATTTTTTCCTCTATCCACCACTCCTTTCAGAAAAGGACTGGCAGCAAAAAAAGATTTCCGATTTCACTGCCAATCACAACTTAACATTTGTCCTCTAAGCGCGGAAAACAGTCCTCAATAAGATCGACTGTATTTTTGTGTAGCAAATTTTATTGACTATCATCAGTATTCATGTTACATGAGACTCTGTACAAATTCTCGAAGGTCCTATAATAAACAATTTTTAAAAAATTATACATTGAATTTATGCTGGGAAAACGTGTTTAATTTTTCTTTTAAACACTTAATGAGGAAGGAAGTTTTAGAAAATTTAACACTTTGACTTATGGAAGGCAAGAGGGACAGACGATATAGTTAGGTTAGTTGCTGATTTTGTTGTTCTCCTTGTCTTCAATATGCCCTAGAATTCTTTTTATTATTATTATTATTATTATTATTATTATTATTATTATTATTATTCTGCATTATTTTTGATAATATTGCATTAACAGTTTTTTTTAATAAGACCATTATTTTTTTTACACATTTAATACGTTGGCTCCTATAAGACACCCGTCGATCGTTTTCTTTTCTATGAAGATTATTGGAAGTGGTCTGCTATGATTGATTGTTTATGGGATCATGGTACCCCAGAACCACATTTTTCCCCAAAAGTTTTAAATATTTTTGAATATAGAAAATGAATGTTAGCGTCAATCTAACACATGTATATTGGGAATTTTTCAACGACCCACGGGTGGGTCGTGTAGGACACTGAGTTGTAAAATAGACTCAGGTACAGAACGACACAGCGGTGGGTTATGGGTAATAAATACTATTTATGATATCCTTACCTCATATAGGAAAAATGTTTTAAAAAATGTTGCTTATATCAAAATGAATTAAGATATAATGTTAAGAATCTCGAACAACAAAGAAAATGAAACTGGGGAGGCAACGTGTTAACCCGTAGCTGAGAATAAGTCATGGATTCATGAGTACTAATTAAAATGTCTGCAAGATTTCTAATAACACTATCAAAATCAATGTCTGCCAATACCAGATTAATATACTCATTCGTGCTACATCAACAAGTCTGATTTGAGACATGGTAGACTTCAAATAGTTTTTGATAAGTTTGAGTTTACACTAAGCCTGTATGATCTGTACGGCTTATACATGTTAATATTAAAGTAATCCAACACATTCTAACATGTATCCTCGGATTTCTACCTCATGATTTTAAACTTTCTAAAAATTACAATGCTTAAAATCAAAACAATAATACATACAGGCACATGATGACGACAAAATTCTGGTGTGTGCCAGTCACATCATTACACTTAATTTACTCATCTACGCATCTACTCCGAGGCTGTAGGTAGGTACCCTTGGTGTTATCATATGTTTATACAACTTGGATTTCCTTGTGCCGCGTCCTGCCTCGTGGGGAGGCAGGTAAATATCGTAATATTCTGTCTAAGTAGTCCGCCGCTAGCAGTGGTTTACCTATTTCACGTCGCTGGCGAGTATTGTATTTTGTTGATGTTATAAAGATTACCATTTCATTTCAAACCCCAGTTTTGGCTATTCTTCATTCAGTAACCCTTTACAGATTTCACTTAATCCCCATCAGCAATTTTGATGGTTAACACCACGAGAGCAACACCCTACGTCTCTCTTGGTTACACGTTTTCCAATGATATGTGTAGGATCGGCTATATCGAATCACTTGATACGTCTACTGCAAGGAAGGTTGGTACACTATCATTTTTGGTCTGGTGCGCCTACTGAGCATCTCGAGTTTCTTGACATAATCCAAAGAAGTGTCTGCAATATAATAGATCCTGACCTGGCATCTCCACGTCAGTCACTTTCTTGCCGACGTAATATGGCTTCCCTTCGTCTTTTCTACAAATATTTTCATGACAATTGTTCTGTAGAGTTGTCTCCCCCCCCTGGTTCCACGACTACATGAATTCAAACGTGCTACTATATTGGCAACTAGGTCTCACCGTTTTACTTTTTGAACTGGCTAGATGCAACCGCCACTTCTGCTCTAACAGTTTCTTTTCTCGCACCTCTCACCTGTGGAACTCCCTTCCGATTACTTCTCTCCCTGACAACTACAATTTAAATCACATTCTCCTGTCTTCTTGAACTCTGTACATTTATTGTCCTTTTCTTAATCCTCCCCACTAAAGTACCCTCAATTTTCTTTCACTTGCCGTAACAGCCTACGTTCTAGTGGCATTATAGCTTGGGGTGTGTGAATCGATTAAAAAAAGTAACAAGGTCTCTAAACCTGCTAACGCATATACCTGGCCCTTCAGCGACCGTTACAGCCTCTCCGTAATATTTGTTTCGGATGTCCTCGTACATCACATTTCTGACAGTTCACTCCGACACCAGGAGTTCTTTGGCGATGTTAGTCATTGATTTCCCGCTATCATCACTGATAATGTTTTGAAGCTGTGAGATGAATTGCAGTGCTATTTATAATATACTTTTTCTCTTGAATACAATTAAAACATTCCCGCTAGAGGCCTCCAGTTTCCTTCGATCTTTGTGTACAAAAGATCTTACAGCATTTAGAAAGTTAGCAATTTCTAAATCGCTGTGTTTCGCACCTATTGGAACGACGCATGTCTTTTCATTACTTGTGTCAGCAAATTTATCTGTCAAATACTTTGATTTACTGCATTTGCCAGCATTAAGGACGCAGTTTTTCTCCTGAAATAAGTCTCGAAAATTTGTATAACAACAAGAATTCTGGCATAGATAACCATTCCCCTGGTGTTTGCATAGGCATGTAGTGAATACAAAATATAAAAATAACTCTCTTTTCTCCATTGTTTTAAAATTCGCGAGCCTATGCGAACATTTATTTTGACCAATAGAAAAAGGGATTGGTTCCGGGCTGAAGAAAAGACACAGTTTAACGAAACTATGTGAAAACTTATTTTGACCAATGGAAAAGGGAGCGGCTTATAAACTGAGAAAAATTAGCGAGCCGATGTGAAATCGCTTTTTGATATAAATAGACAGAGAAAGTTGAATCAAGGCAGAGAGAGAGAGAGAGAGAGAGAGAGAGAGAGAGAGAGAGAGAGAGAGCGAGAGAGTGAAATAGAAAAAGCAGAAAGACACAGGACGTAGAAAGCCAGAGTTCCACGCATCTGAATAACGCCGGTGTCAAATTAAACACTGATGCATTATCAGCTTCTAATGAGGACAGGGTAATTTCAAAGAACTCTATTCAGCTCCAACGCTAAGTACCTTAAAATATATATTTCCATTCATGTTGAGTACAGCCGTATAACATTTATGTGAAAAACGAACTCTCTCAATTTGTTTTAAACATTTTGGAATATTACTTTGTGTCCAATGATTTAATATGAGAGTTTTCTCTTCTTGAAAATTCATCGATACTACGAACTTTAAATATTTGATTCCTATTCCTGAAACAAGCTGCTGACATCTTCAAATGTGTAAAATTATAAATAAATTCCTTGCTCCGTTAAATATAACACGGGTATTTTATCATCATTATCTCTCAATACTTCAAGCCCACGAAAACACTAACCTTCGTCCTCAAGAACACACGGCAAATTTTCGAGAGTTATTTCAGGGGAGAGAAATCCCCCCCCCCAAAAAAAAAAACGCTTCCTTGAGGCCGGCAAATAAGAGAGTTTGAAGAGAATAATATACGGTAATGCCTTGAGACATGAGTTTAATTCATTCCAAGACCGCGCTCGCAAATCAAAAGACTCGTATCTCAAATCAATTTTCCCCATGGAAATTAATGGGAATATTTCCCATTAATTTCCTAAAAGTTCAGCACTGCTCTTTACACTTACTTTCTTCGGACCCATAGTGCCACTAAAGGAATTTTACAAAATAAAGGCAAAAGACACAACACAAAACAGAGATCCTTCCGTTGCAGAGGTGAACACGCATACTTCGGATGCTTAACTGAAACACACTTGTATCTTAAAATTCAGCTCGTATCTCAAGATAAAAAATCGGCCAAACTCCAGCTTGTATTCCAAAAAAAACTTGCAAGTTCATACACTCCTATCTCAAGGTTTTATTGTATTGCTAATCAACTGTCTTCAAATATCCTTCACACTCTGTAATGAGGACTTTTAACAAAGTGTGCCGTTATTTTTCCAGCATGTGTAAATGAATCTCGTGCTACGGATCAAGTGTAAACTTCGCGTTCTTTACGGGTGTTTATCTGTTCAGGAAAATCTGGCTTTTTTTTTTTTGTGGCGAGAGGGTAGCGAAGAACTTCGCATGCGTAAATAAACAGAAAATACTTCGCATAAACGAAAAAAGAAAACGCGCACAGATAAAACAACAAAAAAATGTCAGTTAAAAAAAAAAGGCTTCAATGACGAAAACACGAAGCAAGCAGACATTGGTAGAAAATTCAAAGCAAAGATATCGGCCAGGAATGACGTAACGCTAAGCGCTCACCAAACTCCCGGACCTCACAAGGGCAGAGAGATGAACGCTATCAACATAAACACGAATATTAGCGGTCGGGTTCGTAGGTCAATCCTGCTAATCAGATCACGTGTGTAAACATTTATTTTAGCATTTCATAAAAGTCTTTGCCGGGTGAGATGAATTGGATATATACGGAAAAAAATTCAGGACTGGTCACTGTTTTCTTTAAATCCAAAATTCGAATAATGAAAATCTTCCGAAGAATCATGTCATGAGTCTCGTAACTCCTTAGGGCCGTTGGAGCAACACATGTACTGTAGCCATTGCAAAAGTGATGTGTCTAGGCCAATATAGCCTGACGGTGCCCATCCCTCTTCAAAATGTTTTTTGCATTGAATGCTTTTCTTCTTTTAGACTGGTTCCACCTCGAGGTAAGTGAGGTCAGTCATCGCTGCCATTTAACCCATAGTTGGGGACATAAGAGATAGATTCATACATGTTATAAGGGTATATGTGCGAAAGTGAAGAAATCTGCCGGTATGCCATACTTCAAGGGCGTTATTAGTTCTAGGTAATTCAGCATCGACTCTCTCAAAGCAAGGCCACATACATATTTCAAACATAGGTATTTCAAGCGAATAATTGTTTTCGAACAAATTTTCTCGATACGTTTTATTCAGGCTTTCACCAGTGAATCACTAGAGCAATCTTTTTAGGCCAGTTTCCTCATCTTGGGAAGTTGTGCAGAGCCATGATCGTATTTTTTTTTTTTTAAATATAATGTTTTTTTTCCCGAGTTGGAACATTATGAATCCATATTAATTTTCTATCCGTGTTTCTTCAGCCATTGAAGGTAATCATGATCCTCAACACTTTTTTCTTATTATTATCTGTGAATTGTCACATTATTAAATATTCTTCTCTTGCTGATAGATTTTTTTTTTTTACTCCTGTGGCAGTGGAGACTTCTGGTGTTATTGGCTCTCGTTCGATGGCATTCCTTCGGAGGATTGGCTCGATAGCATCTTCATTAAGGGATGAGCCTCACGAAACGGAGTGGCTCTTGCAGCGTGTCTCACTGGCGATGGTTCGAGAGTAATGCTTTCTCCATCATTGCAGCTGGAAGGGGATAGCAAAAAAATTGTTTAATATTTCTGGAATTGTCATCAATGGTCAACTGAACTTGCTTTGTTTCAATAAATTTAGTGTTTTCATTCTTGAAATTTAAAAAAAAAGAATTGACAAGATTGGAGTGATTTCCCGTTGTTTTCTCCAAGGACTATTACGGCCAAATCACGTTGAAACATCGATCCTCGTACGATCGCCAAAGTTAAGCAACACCGAACCTGATCGGTATATAGATGAGTGAACATTTGGGAATACCAGCTGTAAGCTTGCATGGGCGGTTGTTTTAATGAATAATGTAGTCAGTTTCTTCTAGCTTGTAATAAAGTTTCCTAATCCGTTTCCTCCATCATTCAAAGTAGCGTAAGTCAAACAATCCACCAACACGTGCCTCCTCATCGCTACAATAGTCGCGCCTCTGTCTGTTGCCTCTTTAAGCACGATTGATTGACAGTTCAGATTTGCATAGGTTAAACGAGATTCTCACGAAACTCTGTCCGACTCCGTGATCTATCTTTTTAAATATACGATTCGTAAAGCCGCCATTTTATTTTGGGGAATATTTTACATGCGGGACACGTCCGAATGCGTTTTCGTCCTGGGAGAAAGGCATTTTGTCTAGTGTTACGAACAATGACTCGGAATTGGAAATCAGAGAGCCAAGTTCGAATCCCAGTCGAGTCCGTTATATTCACTTGCACGCAAAGAGCCTGTATCAGGAAATCATTCTTATCTCAACGATAGTCTTACAACATAAAAATATTTTCTGGCTTTAAATAACCTGAAAATAGTTGATAAACCGTAAAAAACAAATCAACAAATCAATTCAAGAGCTTACCTTCGCTAATCAATCAATGAATCATCTTCTCCGAGGTTTTTCTTCTTTTAGACTAGTGGACAGCCAAGACTAGAAAGCCTACGCTACTCTGCTATTTCAATGTTAGCTATCAACTGAGATGATTCCTTGCCTTACCCAAGGACATTGATGAGAAATACACGCTACTGACTAGACTAGAACTTGAGATCGCTTATTCCGCTTTTTGCACCGATAGCAAAAACTTCACACGTTGTAAGTATTTTTCCAGGCGATATTAGGGGTTATATTTACGACCCCCAGCCATGTATACGCACACAAAATAAAAGATTAAATTTGGTACATGCCATTGATGATTTTAATTGTGGCAGGAACGTAAACTTGAAATGTTCTTTATATTTTCCATTACATTTCTCAGTTAAGAACAGGAGGCTCAAACAGCAATATTTCCAGCAGAATAGATAATTTAAAATATAAGAAAAATAAAAAAATACGCCCACCCACCTTCCAAAAATATGCCCAGAAAAGATAATTTACGTATTTAAAAATTTTAAATGTGTCCAGACAACAATATATCAAAATATTTTTTTTAAATTTTAAAAATCGTTCAGACACAAATATATCAAGATTTTAAATTACACCCAGACAACAATATGCCCAGAGGAATAAAATATTTAAAAATTACAAAAATACTTCCAGACTTCAATATATCCAGAAGAATAGATAATTTAAAATATTAAAATTCGTCCAGACACAAATATTTCCAGGAGAATATGCAATTTAAAATATAAAAAATATAAAATACACCCAGACAACAATATATCCAGAAGGATCTAAAATATTTTTAAAAATAAATAAAAATAAATCTTTTTAAAAAATCAGAATCGATGTTCTTTTCACAAATACAAATTTTACAGAATATTTTTTTTTAAAAGAAATAAAAAATATTTAAAATAAATAATGTTTTATTTTTTTTCTGATTCAGGGCATAATATTATATTTTACTCAGCTTGGAATTAAATTTTCCATCAATTTCATTTCTCTTGGAAATAATTTTTTAAAATGTAAATATCAATTGTTCAAATAATATTTAAAGATTTAAAAAAATTACAGAACTTTTTAGATTGGCTTTAAATTTCATTAAGCTTCATTTTTTATACAAAATTCTTTTTTCATAAATAAATTCAATCATAAATAGATAAGTATCCAAAATATCTATGAGTTTGAAGCGTTATTCTGTATTTTTATCGCTAAATTCCAGTTATTGTTGGAAAGCATTGAAGACTTCTGGGGCCACATTTGAACTTTTTAGCCCCAATTTTCATAGAGACGTAAGAAGCTTTAGTTTAGTCATATAAAAATACCGACATGAAAAAAAAAAAAAAAAAAAAAATGGCGGAAATTATTATATGTTTATTTTACGAAATAAAGATGAATTTCAGACGTGTATGAAAGAAAGAAAAATAGATAAAAAGTAAAAAAAAAGCTATCATTTTTCGACAGAGTTGGGATTGAATTTTTAAATGCCTCCCCAAACCCCTATGATTTTTCTGGAACACCTTGTACTACAATCATCCCGATGACAAAACAAGATCTTATATGTGTTTGTTTTAACATTCCAAAAACTGAATGCTCAAATGTGAAAAAAAAAGGGTGTGTGTGTTGACGGGGAAATGTTGAGTGTTTGAGACGTGAGAAGGGATAAAAAAAAAAAAAAAAATACCCCCACCAAAACAGGTAGAAGGTCATTTATACGTCTTATCTATGTGTCTGTATGGGATGTGT